CACCATCACCATCACCATCTCCACCATCACCACCACCATCACCACCACTGTCACCACCATTACCATCTCCACCACCATCACTATCTCCACTATCACCATCACCACCACCATCACCACAATGTCCACTATCACCGTCACCACCACCATCATTACCATCTCTACTATCACCACCACTGTCACCACCACCATCACCATCTCTGTCACCATCTCTACCACCACATCACTACCATAACCACCATCATCACCATCTCCACTATCACCACCACCATCTCCACTATCACCGTCACCACCACCATCACCACCTCCACCTCCACCACCACCATCAGCCCACAGGTCGCCTTGCTTTCTCTCCTGAGAGCCACAGGAGAAGAGCATCTGTGGGTCGGGTCCTTGGCCACGAGGTGGGCCTGACGCAGAGCTAGATGAGCAGTACCTGGAAGATGTTGGAGAGGTCCCTGAGGTTGAAGACGTAATGAAACTTAATGGCCGTGGGAAGGAACGTTGCTGTGACTTTCTGATGCAAGGCTGTTATAGGGAAAAGACACATCGATTCTTACGTGCTCTTAATGGCCCCAGGAAGTGCAGAGCTTAAGTTTCCAAAGCAAATGGACTACAAAACGGTGACAATTTAAGTAAGAAATCTGCACGGCTCTTTGGGGAGGGGGGAGTCTGCTGCTCTACTCTGAGTCATTTCTGTGTGCCGAATCTCCTACGCTCTACCCACCCCCAAAGCGATTGCGTTTCACGGTATCTCCTGTTGAAACACAGCATCATTAAAAAAGTATTGATTTAAAAGTATAAATAAAATATTTACCAGGGAAACTATGACATCCCATCCGCCCCATAAAGCAGGAGGTTTTACCGACAGGAGCGGGATGCGCTGGCTCACCGAGGGCTGCGGCCACCAGCTGGCTGCTCATCCTCTGGACCACCATGGGGACGGAGCGGAAGGCCAGGTGCTGCGCCAGGATGGTGTTGTAGATGGTCGTGAGGGCCTCCTGGCCGGGGAAGCTCACGGCAAACACGCAGAAGTGGCGCTGCCCCAGAACAACACAGACTTCGGTCAGGCGGCTCGTGGCCAGGGCCACCTTCTTGGGAGAGCAGCCCCCAACCCTGTCTCACTGTCTAATGTCTTTGGGCATTGTCAGAATGGACAGCCTTCCTCCTGTGCCTCGCGTGTGGGAAAGTCGCACGAAATACCAGTCACATGTGAAACAGCCAGTTTACTTCATGCTCTCAAGAAAGAGTTTGGCTGAGGCAAGAGTGGCTCAGGGCACAGGCCTGGGTTATGGTCCGGCTCTCCACACGCTTAGACAGTTCAGCAGTGAGGTCTGGCTGGGTAGGGCTGCAGACATCATACAAGATGTCCTGTCAAATCTGAATTTCAGATAAGTAACAAATACATTACTTTGTAGCATAAGTATGTCGCAAATATCACATGAAACATACCTATACTAAAAAAGTATTTGCTGTTCATCTGAAATTCCGATTTAACTGGGCGTCTGCGTTTTTATTTGCTGAATCTGGCAGCCCTGTGGGCTCACGAGGAAGGCTGGCCAGCCTCTCATCCTCCCTGCCTCCCGGAATTTCTGGACACATTTCTGAAAGGTTAAGGAGTTTTCCAGAGAGTGTCAACCTGCAGCACTGACATCCCAAACCGATGCTTTTATCCTCATTTGCCAAACGCAGACCTCAGGCCCCCGGCCCTGACTCGGGGCGCAGGGGGGTTTGGTCTCCATTCACCTGAAGTCTCGGGTCGATGGTGAAGGATCCAGCAGTGGGGTTCATGCAGGCCACGTACTGACAGTTGTGGACGTCTTTTAACGTCAGCTTCTGTCTGTCGTACCTGCGTGGGGGAGACCGGCGTTAACGTGTGCCGCTGGCCTGGAGGAGCCACCCCCGGCCTCCACCTTGCTCTTCAGAATGCTTCGCACGTGGTTAAAACAAAACCTCAATAAATATCGATTCTTGGTGATTACGCCATGCTCTCAAGAAAAATTTTGAAACGGGAGGCAGAAGAGTGGCCCACAGTGCAGGCCCGGGCTTACATTCCAGCTCTGCCAGGGGGTAGCGCTGGGGCTCTGGGCCTGGGAGAGGTGCAGTGGTCTGTGCAGTGGGTCGCTGGGAGGGGTAAATGGGCTAACATGAAAAAGCACTTGGAAGGGTGCCTGAAACACAGTAAGAACGCAATAAGTGTTTACCATCACCATTATCGGTATGATTATTGATGGCTGTTATTGTTAAATAGTCTGATAATTTCCATGACGTCAGGACACTGATCCAACTGCCAGGGGCCCAGACGAGTTCGACGGGTCATAAAGAGTCTGTGCATCTCTTTGTGTGCGCACGACCTTTGGGGTTTTCCCGTCACGCACTTTTTGTGTTGGGAGTTGTTGCCCCTTGTTGATTTATAGGAATTCTTTTGTGTATTCCAGACATTAATCCACTGTTAGACACAGCAAACATTTTCTCCCATTCTATTATCTACTGTATTT